TGTTCACAAGTGGCGTAATCCTGGGTTTCATCTGCCATAATACTCCAGTACTCGGGGATGGAAGTAACAATTGGTCTTTTCATTTATTTTTATTTTGTATTTGTGGGGAAGTATATTTAGCGTTTCGACTTGCCAGTTTTAAATGTTCTGATAAGTCGTTATTATATCTTGATTTCCAGTCCATGAATAATGCAAAATTCTCGAGCTGATTCTCCATCACCCAGTTTTAAGGGTTTTTTTTCAAAAAAAAAAAACTCCCAAACTCAGGGGGGCAGCTGCCCCCCCCCTGCCCCGCCCACGCTAGCTACGGCCTTGGTATCCCTTTCAGTTCAGAAATATACAATGGCGATCGAAGAAAATACAGACAATTAGGAAATCCGTACGAATAAAGTACCAGTAATATCAACCCATGCGTACCCGAAAGGTTTCAACAATTGGACTCATACTAACAATCAAACTGACTGGTGAAATCAGTGTATAAACACATGAATTTATAATTATGATGGTAGTAAAAAGCTGTGCCATCGTGTCCAATTGAAAACTGACGTGTATATGCAGACAAGAGTTATGCTTATGAAGCTGTGACTGTCCTTGTCAGACAATCTATTTATAGTCGTTTGAATGGAGCCAGTCATTACACGTGTTAAAGGCCAGTGAATGCTGATACATTACGCATGTTCAATGCCAAGGATCGTCACGCACATTATCCATGTTCGGAGCCAACGAGCGCGGTTACATTATTCATGTTCAGAGCCACTGAGCGTGGTTGCATTATCCAAGCACAGAACCAATGAGCGCGATTACATTATCCATGTTCAGAGCCAATGAGCGCGATTACACTATTCATGTTCAGAGCCAATGAGCGTGGGTATATTATCCATGTTCAAGGCCAATGAGCGTGAGTATATTATCCATGTTCAAGGCCAATGAGCGTGGGTATATTATCCATGTTCAAGGCCAATGAGCGTGGGTATATTACCCATGCGTAAAGTCATTGTACGTTACTATTCATAATATGCAATAATATAGTGTGAAATATTGGTTTAATCAGCAAAAGAACACAGCAAGAATAGTACCATAGTACCAAGCTATTGATCCCACCCTGAACAATAACTAAACTTGGTCTGAATTACTGAATAAAATTGAAGATCATCCTCATGGGAAAGTCCGATATTTGGCTAGGGATGTGATATACGACACACCCAGTAAACACATATGGTATCTGAACTTCTACGATGCTATCAAATGCATCAGAATGTACGGTTTAGAATCTGGTGTTTCAGTTATCGTGTTGGGTGAGATCTTAATAACAACCACTGTCAAATATTAATTCAATTTCATGTGCCTAGGTGTACGTGTTTCGACGCACTAATAAGCGTGATGCGCCAAAGACCTCATGTAACGTGAAATTGTATCCGCTCGCCTCACCGTAGCGGTCAAGTACTCACATGACTTAGTAGCGTTCATAGTGATTTGTAAGCAGCGACATAGCTAAGGCGTATGCAATATCGAACGAGCAACGTGCACATAATAAAGACATATATAAGACTGACAGTATTATTAAGACATACATACCTCGTAGAAATGTGGAAATAAGTTCTTGAAACCAATCACACTGACCGGCGAACTCAGCAAATAAACACATAGATTCAGAATTACGATGCTAGCGGAAAGCTTTGCCATCGTGTCCAACTTAAAAACTGACGTGGTTACCGAATTGAACCGTGACAAGATTTATGTTTGTGGGACAGTACGATAGCTGGCACGGTAAACAGGACGATGATCCCCCGCAGTCAGGTGCAGTGAAATGAAATCTTTGAGATAATTTGAGACATTTTATAGCCTAAGTTAAGAAATCTATTTATATACACTGGAAAACTGAATGACGTCACTTATCGGAAGTGTCCATCCGCTCCCGTCTACAATGTATACAACGTTGACACGTGACACGTAACACTACAAAGGACTTCAAACTAGTCCTGAGCACAGGGATTTGGACAAATTTATGTATTTTAATAAATTATTAAATAACTAGTAGCTTCGCGGTAAGTGGGTTTCGCGGTAAGTGAGTTTCGTATTGGGTGGGTCTCGCGGGGAGTAGGGCTTTGTCTCAGTAACTGGTCCTTTCATCGTTATTGAGAATTAAAGTTTTATGTTTCTTTAACAACTTGCGCTATTCTGGGAATACCATCCTTAGAAGCTATTAATTTGCCCTTATGATTTGTGCAGTTGCTCTGGCATGAGTTTCAAAATAAGACCCATGCTCTGATAATGCCCATAGTTTCAAAAACAAAGAAACATTATCATTATGATCTTATTGGTGTTGCAAAGTATAGTTGAATATTGTTTATTAAATTTAATAATCCCCATAACCATTTTCCAATATAGATAAATTATAGTACGTAACAAATATATAACTCAGTCTAAACAATGAAATAAAGAAATCTGTATATATATTTACATTATTACTTATGCATTGCAATATAACTAATTACATTGAAAGAAATTGCAATATAAAATATTCCGTCAATAACACTTCTCAAGAGCGTATTTCACAGTCACTGTTATTTACGAAAATATTTGTAATAATTTTATAAATTGGCTTGGCAATTCCCACCCAATTAGATAGTAATGTGTAATGTATCTTTAATTTTATTTATTAAAATATGTATAACATATTTTAATAAATAAAATTAAAGATACACTAACAAAAATGGAATATTAATTATTGGCGATTCGCTCCGCTAGGATTGCCCTTATAATCACTTTTGTCGTTTTGTGTGTGTGATTTCCAGTGTTTTCACGTAATAATTCGACTGTGATTTTTTTGGCTTGGCCGATTTTGCTCAAACTTGCTAAGTAGGTCACACTTTCACCCTAGTTATTAGGAAAAATCTGAAATTTTTTTTGGCCAACCGTTGCCATATAAACATCCCCAAAACTGATTTTTGGATGGCTTCGCACCAAATGTAAATCCTCCTACAAATTTAGGATAAAACACTTCAGACATAGCTCATTCTACTCAGCTTGAGTGTGGGCACAAAGTTACTATTTGAATTTTTGATATCTTTTTTCATTACCGAGAAATTTGACCACAAAGTTGGGGTAACTTTTCACCAGCAACGGCTTTTAAATCTGTGATTTTTTGGCTCGGCTGATTTTGTTCATACTTGACAGGTAAGTCGTACCGTCACTAATAGGAAAAAAATCCTGGCCCACCACTGTCATTGCAACAGCCAAAAACTGATTTTTGAATACTTTCGCCCCAAATTTATTACCTCCTACCAGTTTTGTAATTATAGCCGTGTTCACATGATCATGCTTTTTTATTTTGGCTACGTTGCACACTGGTGAGAGATCACCGGCGCCGACATTGTTACACTGTATCAACGTAATCCCAAGGCAACTTAGAACTTTAAGTGAACTGTAAATGCTGCCTTCAATATAGAAAATACTATCGCAAAACGGTTGGAAATAATAAATTGAACAGCAGAATACGTCCTAGCAATAAAATATAGTGACTTCTAAAGACTGAGTGTTTTTTTGGCGAACTTCGTACTTGGTGCTCGGTGCCTACTGTGGCAATAGCCGAAAACATGTTGCTTGTTTTTTGAGCGGAGCCGGTCGTCAACCAGCCTACCGGCTTGTTTTAGTATAAGCTAGTAACAACTTGTCAATAATTATGGGATGATTTGTAGGCATAAGATTGTTATGTAAACTTTTCAGGGCCTAACTGATTCAGACTCCTATATTGACTATGTCCCGGGCTGTTTACTAGTACCAACCTACTTACTTGTCAGTGTCTAACTGTTATATACAGCCCAGAACACGTTAGAATAGTAAAAAAAAAGTCAGCTAATGTCAGTTGCCCGTACCATGAAAGCCGGCCACAGAACCAAAACAATCTTTCAGCCTTCGCCGCCCACAGCATCGATATGATTTTATATTGCATAGAAATGAACACTAAATGTAGCTATCCCGGTCAGCAATAGAATCATAAATCTTAGTGGCCCGTAAGTGAATGTTGTCAAGTTTGAGAGTGTACAGCGACGTGAACATTATTGCTACAATTTTGGGCTTGAACATGTTCTATACTCACCCAAAACAACAACGAACCTGAAACAAAAGTAACCGTCCGATCTAAACGACCTGCGTCTATAAAAATCGAGTCTTATCTCCCTTGCGTTTCCGATCGATTTCCGATCCGATCGAAATTTCTCGAATTTTTGGCGATAGCTACGTGGATTTGAACCAAAATGTTATCGGCAAGATTCAGAATGCGACAGTGACAGCCACTGAAACGTAATTGAAGGCAAATGAACACGTCAAGCAAAAAAGACTTTTTCTAGTCGTAGCGTAAAATGGAGGCACATACCATTTTGACTCTTGAGGGGAATGGAAATCAATAAGCGAGGGAGTAAATCGTTTTTATGCTACCAAAAAAATGAAGACCTTGAACGTACTTTTTGGATTTTAGTACAACGTCATTTTGTTTGATTACCTAACGTTTCTAGGTTCATGTGCTGTAAGTTACAGAGCTCATACCTAAGCGGCCGTCCCTCAGCAAATAATGAAGCAAAGGCATTTTCGATGTCAAAATCGCGAAACTCTCCCTTTTTAAGCAAACTGAGAATTTCGAATTAATAAACGAAATACAAGACGACGAAGCTTAGATATCCAAGAACCAACACATACCAAAAATGATATCTCAAAAGTGTTTATACCACTCTTTGCATATAACATTAGCGGGCAACAAAGATTGTGATAAAGGAAAGAGTGGTATAAACAAAGATCAATGATTACTTGAAATCGATACCAGGAAGGGGGGTAAAAGAAAAGTTATATAACATTTTATTAATTAATAATTTATTAAAATACATAAGTTTGTCCAACTCCCTGTGTCCATAGTTTGAAAGATGTACAGGTACTCATTCCCTTGATTAGGTTTATAAATATTCATCAATGACAGTTGAATTCAAACAACTAAAACAACCAATCAAGCGCAGTGTGAAATGACGTCATTTCAAATGTTTCAATGTTATTCTTTCAATAGACTCCTCCCGTTTCGGGAAGAATTGTTAAAGTGTTTATACAAACCAAGAAGGAAATGGGTACGGGGTGACGATAGTAGTGTGTTACTATGTTAATATAATGAATATATCGATTTATGATATTGTAATTTTCCATGTACGGCAAGAGTCTTCATATTGCACTAAAATAAAAACACATTGTAATACTATTCACACATTTGCAGCATCCGGCACTTGACTAAGGGAAATCCAAAATATGAGTATACCATACTTTAAGTCAGATTCACTGAATCGAGGAAAACTTTAAAGACACTTTTTGATCATGAAAATGAAAATGGAAACGAAACATTAATACTATGAATCCCCAATTACAACTCTAGTAATGTGGTGTACAATCATTTTCTAGACGCAGGCTGGAGAGAGTGAGATGTGTTGATACACTAGTATGCTAGTAATCACTTTTAATATGTTATATGTACGGGAATATACCTATACATGTCACTAACGCGTCGATATTTGTTAGTAATACTACTTTTTGTCTCGTCGCTATTGTTCTAACAGTTTGCTAACCTTGTGTTGACTGTTTTTGTTCAGCACATACTAGTACTAGGAATGCACTCTTTCTTAATTACAAACTGTAACCGTATACTAGATTCAATAATACCGATATTTAGAACTAGGATTTTCTCACATGACTCTGATGAAAAGAACAACGTTCCCACGATCACTACTAGTATTTAAAAATGGTACATTTTTAAAATTGGCAACAGGATTCTAATTGACGAATTTCAGATAGCCGACGGAGCTGTCATG